CCAAGGCGGCCGAGGACCTGCTGGGCTGTGCCGGGGAGCCCCGGATCCTGGGGGGCAGCGCAGAGGAGGCATCTGCCCGCGATCGGGCGCCCAAAACCTTCCCCAACGCGACACTGGCCTCAGGCCGCTGCAACGTAGACAGCATCCTCGCCTTGCTCCGGAGCAAGTGCGGCAACGGGCACATCAACCTCCACCCCGTGGTGCAGCTCATCGACATCATGAAGGACCTCAACCGCCTCTCGGAGGACCTCAAGAACAGCGGGGTGCACCTGGACTGTGGCAGCCTCCGTGGCGGCGGAGGGGCTCATGAGGACAGCCGCCTCCTGCCCGCTGACCGTGACCTCCAGTACAGCTTCTTCTCCTCACCCTCCCTGGCCAACAGCATCCGCAGCCCCGAGGAGAGGGGAGCGCTCCTCAAATCCGACCCGTCGCGGCATCCCCGGCCCCCAGGACGTGACGGAGAAGCTGACGGAGGCGGGGGGAGCACCCCACAGCCCCCAGGACACGGTGTGGGTGTGGGGGATGTCTCCAAAGCTCCGGCGGAGGAAGCTGGCTGCTCCCAGCCCGATGCCAGCGATTACTCGGAGCTGGCTGAGGCGGACATCCTGAACGAGCTGGCCTCCCTGGCTTGCCCAGGGACGCAGCTGCTGGAGTCGCAAGCGATGGAGCCGCAGCCCCAGTTGCTGCCAGCCCAAGAGCTGGACTCCCAATCCCGGCTGTTGGATTCCCAGTCCCTGGAGTCACAGCCCCAGCTGCTTGATTCGCAGAGCCTGGAGCCGCTGCCAGAGTCACTGGAGCTGCAAAACCTGGAGCCGTTGGGGCTGCAGTCGCTGGAGCCGCTCTCTGAGTCGCTGGAGTTGCAGTCGCTGGAGCCTCTGTCCGAGTCGCTGGAGCTGCAGTCCCTGGAGCCACTGGCGGAGCCTCTGGGGCTGCAGACCCTGGAGCCGCTGCCCGGAGCGCTGGAGCCCCCGCTGCTGCCCACTGAGCCCTCGCTGCTGGAGCCACAGCCACTGGGAACTGTCTCGGAGCTGCTGGAGGCACAGCCGGGCGCTGGGGACCCTCTGCGGCCCCACGGGCTGCAGCCCCGGCTCGGGGGGTGCCCCCTGAGCACCATGGTGAAGCGGGGCCCCTGTGGGGGCCGGGGGGCCGGGCGGTGTGGCGAAGACCACCGCAAGTACGCCCTGCGCCGGACAGATAAGCCAAAGATGCTGTGCCGCCGGAGGAGGGCGGGGCGCGGGCGCCGGGTGGACATCACCCCCGAGAGCCACGTCCTGTCCCCCCTCACCCTGCCCGCGGAGATGCCCCCCGGGCCTGAGGAGCCTGACACCCCGGTGCTGAGCCCCCCACCGCCACCGCCTCCCACCACGCTGGACCCCAACGAGATGCCCAAAGCCCCCACGGCAGGGAAGAAGAGCAAGTGCCGGGGGGTGAGGAAGATGGTGGTGAAGATGGCCAAGATCCCCGTGTCCCTGGGGAGGAGGAACAAGACCACCTACAAGGTGTCATCGCTCAGCAGCAACTTGAACCTGGAGGGGAAGGAGCTGGCAGCCAGCAGCTCCGTGGAGCCCACGCCGCTGCTCAAGATGAAGAACAACGGGCGCAACGTGGTCGTGGTGTTCCCCCCCGGAGAGATGCCCATTATCCTGAAGCGCAAGCGGGGACGGCCTCCCAAAAACCTGCTGCTGGGCCAAGCCAAGCCCAAGGAGCCCACCCCGGAAGTGAAGAAGAGGAGGAGGAGGAAGCAGAAGCTGGCCTCGCCCCAGCCCTCCTACATCGCCGACACCAATGACAGCAAAGCCGACTACTCGGATGTGTTGGCCAAGCTGGCCTTCCTCAACCGACAGAGCCAGTGCTCGGGGCGCTGCTCGCCGCCCCGCTGCTGGACCCCGAGCGAGCCCGAGTCCATCCACCAGGCCCCCGACACCCAGAGCATCTCCCACTTCCTGCACCGCGTCCAGGGCTTTCGCCGGCGCGGCGGCAAGGCGGGGGGCTTCGGGGGGCGTGGGGGGAGCCACGCCGCCCGCGCCGCGCGCTGCTCCTTCAGCGATTTCTTCGAGGGCATCGGGAAGAAGAAGAAAGCCCCCAGTGCCCTGCACGCGGACCCCGTGCACCCCCGCAAGCGCGGCCGGCTGGAGCCCGACCCCGTGGGCAAGCCCAAGCGGAAGCGACGGGCGCGCAAGAACGGGGCGCTGTTCGCCGAGCCCGGCTCGGGGCAGAGCTTCGGGGACGGCCCCGCCGCGGAGTGGGGCGGGGGCGAGAAGGGCGGCCCCTGGGCCCCGCACCACGGCCACCCCGGCGGCCAGGCCGGGCGCAGCGCTGGCTACCAAGGGGCCGAGGCGAGACCGTTCCACGCCGCGGGGCTGGAGTCGGGCTCCTCCGGCCGCGCCGGTTTCTACGCCGGCAGCGCTCCGTCCTCGCAGGCAGAGAGCGGCCCGGAGCGGCACAGCCTCTTCACCGGCTACTTCCGCTCCTTGCTGGACTCGGATGACTCCTCCGACCTGCTGGACTTCGCCCTCTCCGCGTCCCGCTCCGAGTCGCGCAAGTCGGCGGCCGCCTACGCGGCGGCCCCGGCCGCGCTGCCCGGGCAGCGGGGCATGGCCGCGTACCCCGCCCGCGGCGGCAAAGTGCCGGCGGCCGCCCCCGGCGCCGAGGCCGCCTTCCACGCCATGCAGGGCCGGCCCGCCTTCCCGCCCGGCCGCGCCTCCGCCGCCTACGGCGTGGCCCAGGGCTCGGCAGAGTGCCGCGGCACCGAGGCCTTCCCCAAACTGGCCCCGCCGTCCGCCGTGTCCCGGTCGCCCACGGCGCACCCGGCGGCCAGCGGCACCCCCGGCTACTCCCCGTACGGCAGCTACGGCGGCGCCGGGCAGAGCGTGGCGCCCGCCAGCGTGTTCCCACCGGGAAAGCAGTACCCGTCCGCGCAGGACTGCCCCAACAGCAAGGACTGCAGCTTCGCCTACGGCAGCGGCAGCAGCCTCCCGTCCTCGCCCAGCAGTGCCCACAGTGCCGGCTACGCGCCCCCGACGGCCGGTCCCAGTCTGCCGCTGGGAAAAGCCGCCTTCTTCAACAGTGCCGAGCAGGGGGGGCAGTTCTCCAGCGCCGCGCACACCCCGCTGCGTTGCGACAGCCGGGCCAGCACCGTCTCTCCCGGCGGCTACATGGTGCCCAAGGGGTCAGCGTCCTTCCAGCCCTCACCTGAAAACTGCCGGCAGTTCCCCGGCGCCGCGCCGTGGGCCTTCCGGCAGGGCTACGGTGGGTTGGATTGGAGCTCAGAAGCCTTCAGCCAGCTCTACAACCCGGGCTTCGAGTGCCACCTCAATGAACCCAACGTCATCCTGGACATCTCCAACTACACCCCGCAGAAAGCCAAGCAGCAGACGGTCTCTGAGACCTTCTCCGAGTCCTCCTCTGACAGCACCCAGTTCAACCAGCCGGCTGGTTACCGGCGCGCCAACAGCGAGGCGTCCTCCAGCGAGGGCCAGTCCAGCCTCTCCAGCCTGGAGAAGCTGATGATGGACTGGAACGAGGCGTCCTCTGCCCCTGGCTACAACTGGAACCAGAGCGTCCTCTTCCAGAGCAACTCTAAGCCTGGTCGAGGCCGACGGAAGAAAGTGGATATGTTCGACACCTCCCACCTGAGTTTCTCCTCCTCTTCCTCTTCTTCCTCCGTGTACCCCTCCAAGAGGAACACGGGACCCCGGCAGCCCCGGGGCTCCCGAGGGGCTTGTGCCTCCAAGAAGGAGAGGGGGACGGGCAAAGCCAAGTTCCCCACCAAGTCGCAGGCGGTGAACCCCCTCTTCCAGGACAGCACGGACCTGGGCTTGGACTACTACAGCGGGGACAGCAGCATGTCCCCCCTGCCCTCCCAGTCCCGGGGCTTCGGCGTGGGGGAGCGGGACCCCTGCGACTACAGCGGCCCCTACTCCATGAACCCCTCCACCCCCTCGGATGGGACCTTTGTCCAGGGGTTCCAGAGCGACTCCCCCGGTTTGGGGCAGCCGGATTTGGAGAGCAAGCACTTCCCTGCCCTCCCACACCAGCTGGCGGCCCCCGGCCAGCAGACTGTGTTCGAGGCCGGTTTGCAGAAAGCCTTCTCGCCCAACTGCTCCCCGACCTTGGCCTTCAAGGAGGACCTCCGGGCAGGCAGCATGCGAAAGCTGCCCGCCTGCGACTCGCTCAAACACAGCATGCAGGGGGGGGCCCTGCCACACGCCCCACACCTGGCCTGCCGCGACCTCCCCATGCCTCAAGCGCACTATGACTCCCCCAGCTGCAAAAATCCCCCGTACTGGTATTCCCCCAACGCCAGCACCCGCAGCCCTTCGTACGACAGCAAGGCGGGGGCTGGGATGCTGGTAGACTTCATGGGCAGGACGGACCCCCCGTGTCTGAACCCCCACTTGAGCAGCCCAAGCAGCACCCACCCCTCCAAGGGCGAGAAGGAGCCCTTGGAGATGTCCCGGGCTCACCACCGAGGACCCTACGCTTGTCCCTTGATCAATGACTTGAACATCTCCCCCGTACCGAGAGACTCAATGTTGCAGCTGCAGGACAACTACAGGTACCCCAGTTTTGCACCCCAAGGGCACCCCGTCATGGCCCCCACCCAGAAGAGTGGGTTTTTGGGACCCATGGTAGAGCAACAACACCCCGAGGACACTTTTACGGTCACCTCATTGTAGTGTCTGCTGACGTGCCAACGGGACAACGAGGTTTTGTTACAGGGTAGGTGGGGGAGAACCTGGGAGTGAGGGTGGCAGAGGGGGACACAGGGGACCCTCAGGGCCCTTCTCATCGTGTTCCCCTCTCTCTCCATGTTGTGTTTCTCTTTCAGAGGTAATTTAGCCAGCACTTTTTTCTGGAACACTTTTCAAGTTCTGTATTTAACTGGGATTGGAACCGTTTGTTTGTTTTCTTAAAAAAAAAAAAAAAAAAAAAAAAAAAAAAAAAAAAAAAAAAAAAAAAAAAAAAAAAAAGAAAGAAAAAAAGGAGAAAAAAAGGAGAAAAAAAAGATAAAAAAGATAAAAAATAAGTGAAACAAAAGGAGAAAATTAATAATAATGGATGAAGAGAGAAACCCCCCGTTTTTCCCCCTCCGCACTCAAACTCGCTCTGCCTGCCAACCTCCGGCTCTGCTTTCCGGACTGCCGCCCCCCCCGCCCCGCAGCAGGACAATCGGACGGACGGACGGACGGACGGACAGAGCGCAGGGGTGCGGGCAGGAGGGGACCTGGGGGTCAGCGCCGGGTGCCCCCTGCCCACAGCCCGGCCGGGGACCCCTGGGCCGCCCGGGGAGGCAGTCTGGGGATTCTTTGCTTTTCTCGTCCCTCCCCGTCCGCTCGCTCGCCGCGGGGGCTGCTCTCGCCGGACGGACAGCGCTGACCCCCAGCAGGCTCCGGCGGCGTCGCCAGCGGGGCTCGGAGACGCCACCGCCACCAGGTGAGGGCCAGCTGGGTTCCCCACCCAGCAGCGCGCCCCAGCAGGGTGGGCTGGGTGCCCCGAGCTCGGGTGGGTTCTCTGACCCAGCTGCACCCACCCTCTGCGTGCCCCCAGCCCCTTCTGGGCTGGAGCAGTTGGCACGGTGTTGGCCCACCAGGCACCAAAGTGGCTCCCCAGTGTCTGGGGGGGCTGGAGCCCGGGCTGGGGGTGCAGGGCCGGGCTAGGGGTGCAGAGCCGGGCTGGGGGTGCAGAGCCGGGCTGGGGGTGCAGGGCCTGGCTGGGGGTGCAGAGCCAGGCTGGGGGTGCAGGGCTGGGCTGGGCTGGGGGTGCAGAGCCGGGCTGGGGGTGCAGGGCCTGGCTGCACAGAGCTGAGGGGTGTGGGGTGCCAGATGGGGGGAGCGGGACCCAAGAGCCCCGGGACGTGGGTGCCAGACAGGGATGAGCAGGACTCCAGACTGCAGGGTTGGATGGGAAGGACCCCACATCCCCTGGGGCCAGACTGGGGGGAGCAGGACCCCAGACCCCTGAGTGTTGGGGTGTCAGTGGGGGGAGCAGGACCCCAGGCCCGGGTGTGGGTGTGCCGGGCCCCAGGTCCATGGGTGCTGGGTGGGGGTGGGCAGGCACCCCAGGGTGGGACCCTCACTCCTCTGTTCCTCTTCCTCCAGCCACAGCACCCCCAGCCCTGCGCCCCCCGCCCGTCCCGGCTGCCGGAGCGGAGAGGAGAGGAGAGGAGAGGAGAGGAGAGGAGAGGAGAGGAGATGAGAGGAGAGGAGAGGAGAGGAGAAGAGAAGAACAGAGGAGAGGAGGGGGCTGCCTCCGGAGGGGACCCCGCTCCGCCGCCCCCGCTTCGCCCCCGGCCCCCGCCTCGGCCGTGGCGCCGGCGCCGCGATCTGTCTCTCCTCCCAGCCAGAAGCAGAGGGACTCTTTAAGTTTTATTTTTTATTTGATTAATTTTCATTTTCTGCACAAAACCAGCAATTGTAAATACTTTTGAAGAAAAGAAGTTAAAAAAAAAAAATGTTTAAGGATAAAAAAAAAAATTTAAAAAGCTGAAAAATCACAAAAAAAAAAAATAGAGAATCATGCACCGGAGGGAGAATCCAAAAATGACGGAGAACAGGCCTAAAGCATCCAAGAGGTGAATATGCAGCAGAAAAGAGCAAAACCCCCCCCAGTATGCACTGAGAAAAAAATTTATTTACAGATCGAGCAACAAAAAAAAAAAAAGAAAAAAAAAGAAAAAAGTAACAATAACCTATTTATTGTATATAATGTTTTATTATAAATCGTGTCTTGTATATTGCATTCTGTACATCTGCTGTGGTTTTGTGGTGTGCAACTTCCGCATGGGTTCCTTGGGTTTCCGTTGCCTTTTTTTTAATGATTCAATGATGATTTGAGTTTTATTTTTATTATTATTCTGAAGAACGAAGGCGGGTTTTTGATTTTTTGTTGGGTTTTTTGGTTGGTTTTTTTGGCAGTACACACCCAAAGATCCAAATTTGTATAAAAAAAAAAGAGTTTAAAAAAAAAAAAAAAAGAAGAAGACAAAAACTTAAAAAAAAAGTTTAAAAAAAGAAGAAATCAATCGATCACAGACCCTCTTGGTGGGGAGGGAGTGGGGGGCTGGGGAAAAGGGGGGTCCCTTTCCCAGGGTCCCCGAGGCGGTGGCGGTGACGAGCTCAGGGTGTGGGTGCGTGTGTGGGTGCCAGGTGGGCTTTGGGGTCCTCTCCTCCCACGAATTCCCTGTGTGTCCCCCCCCCTCCTCAAGTTTGGCAATCTCTGTACAGCTTTGTGGGTTGTGCAAAAAAAGAGAAAACACACACACACACACACACAAAGAGATGAAAACCACCCTGAAATGGATAAAAAAAGCAAAATTCACAAAAAATAAAAAAAAAAAGGAGAAAACTACCCAAATTTGGTCAAAATACGCCCTCCTTCCCCCGCCCCCCCGCTGCCCTGTGCAGTGCTTGTGCTGCCCTGGCCAGAGGGGCCCCCGTGAGCCCCCCGGCCCCCGCTTTGCCCCTCAAACGGTCTTTTTGTGTTACTTAGGAAGGAATTTTTAATAGGCACTTTTTTTATATTAAAAAGAAACCTATATATTGAGCGATGCCCGCTGCTTTCTTGCTTCTCGTTTTTGGGGGAGCCCGGCCTGGCCGTGCCGGGGGTGGGTGTTGGGGGGTGCTGACCCTCCCTGGATTTTGGGGGGTGCGCCAGGATGCGGCGGGGCTGCCCCGAGAAAGCGGAATTGAATTTTGGTACAAATCGGGGCGCGGGCACCGCGGGCCCGGGGGCAGTGCCGGGGCCCGGGGGCACGGTGGGACCCCCGGCGGGACCCCCGGCGGGACCCCCGGCCCTGGCACCGCCCGGGGAAGGGCACGGAGCGCCGGCGGCTGCCCGGGATGGATGGGCCGGGCGCCAGCGCCGGGAAGGAGCAAGGAAAGGAGGAAAAGAAGCACAAAAGCCACAAAATTCAGGAATCCACCAACTGCCAGCCTGGGTCGGGTGGGGGGCTCAGCTGCCTGCGGGTGCCGGTGGGGCCAGGGCTGCGGCACAGGGGGTTTGGGGGGTTTGGGGGGGTTTTGGGGAATTTGGGGTGCTGTGGGGAGCGGCCCGCAGCACCTGCTGATGGATGGGGAGCGGGGGTGTCGGGTTAGCCAGCAGCCAGAGGTGATAAAGGGGGTGGGGGATGCTGAGGGACCCCCTCTTTGCTGGGGGGGGCTGCTGGTGAGCGTTGTAGCCCCTCCTTCCCACCATCCTCACAGTGACAGGGCTGGGGGGACACATCGGGTGCCCCCCGATGTTGTGCTTCCCCCCTGGCGGGCACCAAATGTCCCCTGACTGTGACCTAACGGGGGAAACTGAGGCACAGCAGCAGGCTGGGGGGCCCAGCCATCCCTGATGCTGTGCCTGCATCCAGCACCCATTCCAAGGTGCTGAAGCCCCCTCTGGCTCCTCCGTGACCCGTCCTGGCAGGTCTTTTGGGAGTCCATGGTCCTTCATCCCCAGCTTGGCTCCAACATGATGCCACGAGTATCAAATTTACTCCTTCCCACCCCATTTTTCCTCTCTCCCATTTCAGGTCACAACAAGCAGCACTGGAAGATGATAAAATTCCTCCCCAGGAGGTAAATCCCGCCAGGAAGCATCACCTGGCACACCAGAGTCTCGCTGGGTATGACTGGCTGCTTGGACCACAGCTGGATTTCACTTATTTTATTATTTTCTGTCTTTTTTTAAAGCCTCAATTATATCTCTCAAGCAGCATGAGCCAGTCTGGAGCCTGAAAAACCTTGTGATGGGCTGATTGTTGGGGATTGATCAGCACAGCCCAGCATCGCCTGGGTTTGCTGGGGGAAAGGAGGGAACAGCTCAAAATTTGGGGGGGAATGATTGCTTAGCTATTTTTTTTATCTGTTTAACGTGGATGTTTCTAAGGTTTCGTTTGGGAGCACCCAGGGTGAGTGCGGCACGGCCGCGTGGTGTGCGGGGTGAGCAGTCCTGGTGCCCGGCCGTGCTCGGGATGGAAGCGATGGTTTCAATTCAGCAGCTCTGCTGGGAGGAGGGCTCCGGCCGCTCAGGACGCTCGGAGAGCGGGGATGCTGCAGGGCCGCGGGCTGAGGGATGCTGCTCGTCCCCGCGGCCAGGCCTGGGCCGGCACCAGCCACAGCACCGGCCACTCGATGAAGAAGGGCGTAAGGACGCTCCGGGGGCTGTGCCGGAGCCCGCACCCACCTGGCGAAGGCAGCTCCGCCTCCATTCCCACTCCTTCCCATCCCCTTGGAAACGCGGCAGGAATTTGCCCCCTGCCCCTGCCTTCCCCTCCTGCCCGTCACCTGGGGCTGGAGCCGGGGAATTCCTCCTTCCCGGATGGTGCGCGCGGGTGCACACGTGTTGCGCACCCATGGGCACCATCCCCCTGGCACGGAGGCACCCGGGACGCCGGTGCCGGTGCCAGGCTCCCCGCCAGGGCCGCGAACCCACCCAGGCAGGGCGGCAGCAGGAGCCGCCCCCGCCCCGCGGGGCTGGAGCTGCCGGGAGATTTGGACACCCCCTTCTCCTTCAAATTAATGGCTGTGCCGTGAAGAAAATTGAAGCCATTATTCTTCGCTCGCATCCTTTATACCCACCAACTTCAACCACTTGACATGCTAATCACAGCTAACGAGGGAGGGAGGCGATTTCCCACGTCAGACCCGCAATCCGGCGAAGCCGGGCGGGGAGCGGCCCCAGCCGCGGCACCTCTGCCCCCGCCGCGGCCCTTCCCGGCCGGAGCGGCCGGCTGGAGCCCCCGGAGCCCCCCGGAGCCCCCTGGAACACCCATGGAGCTCCTTGGAGCCCCCTGGAGCACCCATGGAGCCCCCTGGAGCACCCATGGAGCCCCTTGGAGCCCCCCAGAGCCCCCCCCCCCCTGGAGCACCCATGGAGCCCCCTGGAGCACCCATGGAGCACCCATGGAGCCCCCTGGAGCACCCATGGAGCCCCCTGGAGCCCCC